AAAGATGAAGATGGTGATGATGGGGAGGAGGATAATGGTGATGATGATGACAAAGATGAAAATGGTGATGATGGGGAAGAAGAGGAGAAGGAAGAAGAGAAGAAGGAAGAGAAGAAGGAAGAGAAGTAGTAGTAGTAGTAGTAGGAGGAGGAGGAGGACGAGGAGGACGAGATAACGGGAGAAGGAGATGAACTTGGAAAGGTCTGACAAGGAGAGGAGTTCGTGTGTTCGTGTGTGCCAGACGCGTAATGGTATCTCGCCCAAGGAATCGGATGCAGCGATGAAGAAGAAAAGAAGATAAGGAAGGGGAGAAGATGGAAGGATAATAAGGAAAATGAGAAGACAGAGGAACAGAAGGATAGAAAAGGGAAGAGGAGAACATGGGTGGATAAAAAAAAAAATGAAGAGATAAAAAGGAAAAGGATAAGATAGAAGGATGGAGACATACGAAAAGGAAGAAGAGAAGATGGAAGAAGAAAGGGATAAGAAAAGGAAGAAAAGAAGATGGAGGAATAAGAATGAAGAAGAGAAAAGGGTTGAAAAGTGAGTGACTGGAAGATGGAGAGATAGAAGAAGGGAGGAGAAGAGGGAGTGAGAGAGAAGAGGGGAGAGAGAAGGTAAAGATAGGAAGATAGATAGGTAGATGGATAGATAGATAGATAGAAAGAGAGAGAGAGAGAGAGAGAGAGAGAGAGAGAGAGAGAGAGAGAGAGAGAGAGAGAGAGGGAGAAGTGGTGATGAGAGATAAGAGATATTAAACGCAACATGCCAAATATTCGTCATTATGTAAATAGATAGAGAGAACGACAAACAAAGACAAAAAGTGAGAGACAAAAACAAATTTGAAAAAAGTTACCAGGTGACAAAAAGAAAAAAACATACAGAGACAAAAAAAAACGAATAAAATAAAAAAGTAACCAAACCAGATAAAACCAAACAGCAACAATAAAAAATAAAAACGAAAAAAAAAAGTACCTCTCCTCCTCCTCCCTCTCTCCATCCCCGTCCCCTCCCCCCCTCCCACTTCCTCTCCTCCTCCCTCTCTCCATCCCCCTCACCTTTCTCTCCCCCTTCCATTCCCCTCCCCTCCCCCTCCCACCGTAGACTGGCTCTAAAGAGAGAGAGAGAGAGAGAGAGAGAGAGAGAGAGAGAGAGAGAGAGAGAGAGAGAGAGAGAGAGAGAGAGAGAGAGAGAGAGAGAAAGAGAGACGGACAGATAGACAGAAAGAGAGAGAAAGACAAACAGACAAACAGAAACACAGCGACAGAGAACAAAAAACCTTGATCATTACCGTTTCGGCCGATGCTCACACCGCCCCGAAAAGGGCTTGGAAGAACCCCGCCCACAATGTCCTTCACAACTTCAAACCTCGTATTGCATTGCTGCCAGACGGCCGGGTGATAGGATTAATTTTCATGGGGATTTCATGCGGTCTGGTATCACTGGCTTACCTTGTATGTGGCGTATATAAGTATTACATAATGCAATATGTAATATTCGTCGTATGCTGTTTTGCTTTTATATATATATATATATATATATATATATATATACATATATATATATATACATATATATATATATATATATATATATATATATATATATATATATATATACACACACACACACACACACACACACACACACACACACACACACACACACACACACATATATATATATATATATATATATATATATGTATATATATATGTAGTGTAATAAAAACTATGATCTTGTGTAGCTCAATAAAGGGATATACTATATACTCTAATTCAACATAATGTCATGCAAAATACAATAATATGATTCCCTTTGCAACGTATCTACAATGTGTTTGTATCATGATGTCAGCTGACATATATTCTAATGTCAAGAATGATGTTGCCCTTTTCAAAACCAGTCAAGCATAAATGTGTACGTCAGTTCTTGCGTTGTCATGTTTGTGTTACCCTTTTTTCGTGTCAGATATCACTGTCATTTTTTTTCTTGTCACGTTACGGATCGTTAGCCTTTTATCCTCTTTGTCATATCATAAATACACTTCATAGCCTGTTGGTACTCCTGTCATGTCATTATCTTTATCATGTCATTTTCTTGATCATCCTCAATTGAGTGTGATTCTTATGGTAGTCTGTTATTTCTTTCTCTTGACACCCTTGTTTTCACTGTCATTCACATGGCCATGTTATTTATATATTAATGAATAGTGGTATCAAATGTTCACAATAAGTGTAATAACTTTCATAAGAATTAACTAAAGACAGAAAGACAGACATAGGGAGAGAGGGAGTATGAACAAATGTCTATCTTTATCACCCTCCATCCCCACCAAAACGTGGAAGAAGAAAATGGAAGAAAAAAAGATCAGTAGAAAGTAAAAGGAAGACCAAGCACACCCCCCTCCCCCCCTCAAAAAAAAAAAAAAAAAATCCCAACTAAACAGCACCGTCATGAAACCTTCCTTACCGAGCGCATGACCAGAGCTGAACATACTCACGCTAACAAAGAAAGACGAACGAATCCAAGACAAGGGGCCGGATAAGGGTAATTAGGATGAAACGCTTACGATGCCAATGTAAAAAAAAAAAACAAACAAAAAAAACGAAAACAATCAAGAGAGACGAGTAAACAATCCCTTTTATGCATGCAGTTCTTACTCACAAAGGAGCGTTCAGAATTGAATGTTAGCGTTGCCTTGTTCATACTTTTGGAACGGTACCAAGTTGGCTACACACACACAAGCACGACGTGACTATTTCTCCATTTACCATCTGTCTATCTATCTATGTACCTGTGTACCTATTTATCTGCCTATCTATCTGTCTATATCAAGCGTACATACGCATGCATAAAAATCCGTTTAAATGCACAATCTATATATTCATACATCATCTACATTAGAGACAAGTTGAAGAAAATTCGTACACAGTTGATGTCCTTACAAAAATCAGGAAGGGTGAGGGGGAAGGAGTGAGGAGGAAGTGAAGGGGAAGGAGTGAGGAGGGAGAGAGAGGAGGGAGGAATGAGGAGGGAGAGAGAAGGGGAAGGAGTGAGGAGGGAGAGAGAAAGGGGAGGTGAGGAGGGAGAGAGAAGGGGGAGGAGTGAGGAGGGAGAGAGAGGAGGGAAGGAGTGAGGAGGGAGAGAGAGGAGGGAGGAGTGAGGAGGGAGAGAGAGGAGGGAGGAATGAGGAGGGAGAGAGAGTGGGGGGGAGAGGAGGGAGAGAGAGGGGGAAGGAGTGAGGAGGGAGAGAGAGGAGGGAGGAATGAGGAGGGAGAGAGAGAGGAGGGAGGAGTGAGGAGGGAGAGAGAGGAGGGAGGAGTGAGGAGGGAGAGAGAGGAGGGAGGAGTGAGGAGGGAGAGAGAGGGGAAGGAGTGAGGAGGGAGAGAGAGGAGGGAGGAGTGAGGACGGAGAGAGAGAGGAGGGAGGAGTGAGGAGGGAGAGAGAGGAAGGAGGAGTGAGGAGGGAGAGAGAGTGGTGGGGGAGAGGAGGGAGAGAGAAGGGGAAGGAGTGAGGAGGGAGAGAGAGGAGAGAGGAGTAAGGAGGGAGAGAGAGAGGAGGGAGGAGTGAGGAGGGAGAGAGAGGAGGGAGGAGTGAGGAGGGAGAGAGAGGAGGGAAGGAGTGAGGAGGGAGAGAGAGGAGGGAGGAGTGAGGAGGGAGAGAGAGGGGAAGGAGTGAGGAGGGAGAGAGAGGAGGGAGGAGTGAGGAGGGAGAGAGAGGAGGGAGGAGTGAGGAGGGAGAGAGAGGAGGGAGGAGTGAGGAGGGAGAGAGAGGAGGGAGGAGTGAGGAGGGAGAGAGAGGAGGGAGGAGTGAGGAGGGAGAGAGAAGAGGGAAGAGTGAGTAGGGAGAGAGAGGAGGGAGGAGTGAGGAGGGAGAGAGAGGGGGGAGGAGTGAGGAGGGAGAGAGAGGGGGGAGGAGTGAGGAGGGAGAGAGAGGGGGGAGGAGTGAGGAGGGAGAGAGAGGGGGGAGGAGTGAGGAGGGGGGGTGAGGCGGAGTACGAGGAAGGGTTTAAGGGAAGGATGGAGACTGGGGGGGAGGGAGGCGGGGAGGGTAGGGGAGGGCAGCGAGGGAAGGATGCAAAGTTGTGGGAAGGGGCGGGAGGAGGGAGGGGAGGGGGGGGGGAAGCAAGAGGGAAGATGGAGTAGGGAAGATGAGTAAGGTGGCGAAGGAGAGGGAGGGGGAGAGGGAGGGGGAGGGAGGGGGGATGAAGATGGAGCAAGGAAGGGCGGGAAGGGAAGGGATAGGAGGCAGAAGGAGGGGGGGGGGTGTTGGGCTTGGAGATGGAGGAAGGGAGAGTGGGATGGGACAGGGTTGAGGTTAGGGTAAGGGAAGGGCGAGGGGGAGGGGGGAGGGGGAGGAGGCGGAGGGGAAGGATTACGTGAAGAAGCGGCCATGACCTACGACAGGCCTGGAAATGCAACGGGTCATGGAGGAGAGTGTGCAACCTGCAATTTAGAGCGTCAGCAACAAACTCGCACCACGAAGCAGCGACATAAACGCCCAGGAATTCACGACCCACAACCTCCCCCCCCCCTTCCCCTCCCCTCCCCCACCCACGCGGTTCACTCCAATGATATTCACACAACATACGCACGAAATAAAGGAACACCACCACGCTATAGTCACCCGTATTTCATCATTCTTTCCCACAAAACGAAGAAAACGAAATTCGCACAGACATTAAAAAGGAAGGGAGAAGATGTGGAAAATGAACACTAAAGGCAAAGAAAAGGTAGAAAAGACAAAAGAGAAGACAACAAAAAACAACAACAACAACAACAACAACAAAGAACAGAAAAGGGAAAGAAGAGAGAGGAAATTCCCCCCCCCCCCAAAAAAAAAAACAGGAAAAAGAGAAGAGAAAGGAAAGGCCAAACCAAAATGAACGAACAGGGAGGAGAGTCAGAACAAAACAAAAATAAAGAGAAAGGGAAAACAGAAAAAGAAAAGACCAGGGAAGGTTCCTAAACGGGTTCTCCCCCCGCGGAACTCCTTACCTGCGAGGCCCTCAGCGCTCGTCTACCTGTTGCCTCCGGAGTCGCCGCGTGTACCTGTTGCTCGGACCGCAGCCGCACCGAAACTGCCGGCTCATACTACTAGCTCGTTCGGCTGGACGTACTCACACACGAACAAGCACGCAGTTATATAATGCAACTGGACACACATACACACACGCACGTAAACACACACACATATGAACGCACACATATATATACACACGTACACTTACACACACAAAAACACACACACTCACGTTTATGCAAACAAACGCAAAATACGAGGAAATAAAATTTGAAAAAATATATTAACGAAAGAGTTCATTTCGTAAAAGTAAAAGTACTGGAAGAAGCACAAAAACAAGCACACGTAAAAACAAAACGTTCTCAGTATCCATTGCAAGCACTTGATTGGCAACAATATTAAGACACTGATACATACTTATACTTATGATTTATATATGCATCTAAAATTATATTCACACACACACACACACACAAACACCCACAAACACACACATACACATACACGCGCACGCACACATTCTTGAAATACCTAACCAGACGTTGGTGACTGTCTTTAAAACCTGCGCCACTATTACATTCACACACTCACAAGCAACGCACACACACAATATCACTTACACATGGATAAACATAAAGATGCGCATATACGCATACTTATCATCTAGCCACAAAAATCCTTGTGGTTACTCATCGAAAAAAAAACAAAAAAACTTGCTCGTCTAGTTTTTTCTTTACCTTTTTTCAACTGAACCTTTTTCCTATTTTTTGTTTCTTCTTTTACTAAGCATATTCTGCAGGAACGAAATTGTTCAGTATAGATAGAAGTGAAAGTCTATAACTGTATTTCAGTATTTTTGGTCGACAATGTATAAGGGTAAATGTAATTATATATTTTTTTCTGCAACTTTTAGATTGCCATATTGTGATTCTATAACAAAAAAATATTTTAGGCGATCTTACTACATCTTTACAGCACTATCCTTATTTTCATTGTTATCATCATTATCATTATCACTATCATGACAGTTATTCAATTTTATTCTCAGCTCTTGTTGGTGTGCACATCTGTTCATAGAGTAATAATTCTTACTTTATTATCACGTTGCTCCTTCTCCCTTCCTTTTCCAGTCTTCTCGTTTCACTCCTCTCTTCTCTCTTTCGCTGCTATCATTTCATTCTTTTTCCTTCTACTCGTCATGGTTACTCCCTCCCCCCCCCCCGTTTGTGTTATTCCTCCCCCCCCTCTTTCCTTTTTTCCAGAACCCTCTCTTGCCCCATATCTGTTTCCTACCCCCCATTCACTCCCTCCCTCCCTCCCTCCTTCCCTCCGCCCTCCCGAAGTAGCCTTCCCTTCCTTCCATCCTCTCCCTCCCCCTTCCCATCCCCTCCCTCCCACCTTGCTACCTCATTTCCCACCCTACCCTCTCTCTCCCCCTCCCTCCTGCCCCTTTCTCCCACCCACTCCTTCCTCCACCCCCCATCCGCTACTCTCCCCCCTCCTTCCCCTCCTTTCCCAATATCCCTCCCTTCTCCTGCCCCTCTCCTTCCCCCCCTACCCCTCCTTCCCCCCAGCCCCTCCTCTTCCCCCCAGCCCCTCCTCTTCCCCCCAGCCCCTCCCCTTACCCCCTGCCCCTCCCTGCTCTCCCCTCCCCTTCACCATCTGTATGATGACCGATATAATGCTGACTCAAGATGACGACGCGTTATTGTACAGTGACCGAAACTACAGTGAAATCCAGACCTTATTATTTTTTTTCTCTCTCCCTCTCTCTTTCCCTCCCCCCCCCTTCTCTCTCCCTCCTTCTCGTTCCATTTTTATTTCCCTACCCCTATACTGTTTCCTTCTTCTCCTCTTTCCCTCTCCCTCCCCCCTCTCTCTCCCCCTCCCTCGCGTTCGCTTTTTGTCTCCCTTCTCCTATGCTTCTTCCCCCTTCCCCCTATCATTCCCTATCCCCTGTCCTCTTCTCCTTTCCAAACGCTACTTCTTCCTATTTACATACCCCTATCCACTTATCTCTGCTCCATTTCCCCTATTCGACCCTACCTCCCACCCCTCTCCTCCTCCCTTCCCCTTCTCCATTCCCTCTACCCTATCTCTCTCTCCCTCTCCTTCTCCCCTTCCCCAATCCCTCTCCCAACCCTACCTCTCCTTACCTCCCTAACCCCACTCCCCCTCTCTGTCTCCCTACCCCACCCTCTCCCTCCCTCCCCACCTCTCCCTCCCTCCCCACCTCTCCCTCCCTTCCGCCACGACCGCTATAATGCTGAGTCAAGGTGACGCCAGCAATTTCTACGATAATCACAGCTACGGTAGCTACAACCACTTCAAAGCTTTATGGTGAAGCGTAACAGTGTTACACTCAAGCAAGCTTTGTACGTCACAAGCATATATTGCAAGCAGAAAACACAAACACACACACACATGTGTTATATATATATATATATATATATATATATATATATATATATATAT